TTTTTTTTTTTTTTTTTTTTTTTTTTTTTTTTTTTTTTTTTTTTTTTTTTTTTTTAATCAATTAATTTTGCTTCCAAGCTCTGAACTTGAGAGAGATTTGGTTAGACGTAAAAAGAGAGAAAGGAGAAGAAGGAAAACAAAAAAAAAGGAGTTTTCTAGAAATAGGAAAAAGGTTGCTTCGACGTCAAGTCTCCTAATGCTTGCGTATCTACACATACATATGACACCATCAAATTACTCATTATATAACAATAATTTTGGTAAAAAAGATTACTTTTAAATTTTATAAATATGTTTGGAAAAAAGAAATGATTCACTCATCATTTATCTATTTTGAACATAATCCTCGACCAAAATATACCTCTCTTAAGATTATTAGTTAACCAATGTGAGACTAGTTCTCTCGGTAATCCTTACTCCAAACAAAGTACACTACAGAGTTTAGCTCTACATAAGTCATGACATGAAACTATTTATGTGATCGTAAAACGGGGAATGGGGAAGAGTGGAGATGGGGCAAAATGGGATTCTTTGAGACAAGTGGAGGGATGAGTTTCACCATCTTTTAGATGAAAAGAAGGGTGGGTTATTGTATTTAGGGTATGGGGGATAGAGGCAGCTGCAGTGTCAAAGTTGGAGTAAGATGAAAGGCTTCTTCTATTGTAATATTGAATGTACAAAAGGGGGAGGAAATTACGTAAAAAAGACTGCAAAAAAAGAGTATTCAAATAATCTGACCTCCAATCATCCAACCTGTATACTTCTATATCTCTTCCTTTACGTCCACTTCTCCACCTCAAGCAAGGTATCCTTCTTCACCCTGTCCAATATGTTTTAACACCACCTTTTTTTTTTTTTATTATTATTATTATTATTATTTTTAGAGGAATTTAAAAGTGGAAATAATGTAAAATGGATCTATGGAATGTTAGGCTTCCGCGTGATTAATGCTTGGAGGTTATTATTATTAATGACATGCCTAAAATTGATTGCTTACCATAACTTGCACGTATTCAATTTTAGATCCAACTTAGTTTGAATGTTTGGATTGGTTGGGTTGATGTCTCGAGAATGTACGTAAATTTCACAACCTAGTCCAACGCTCTATTTTTCATTGGGATGGATTGGATTATCGGGATGTTCTTTTTATTATTATTATTTTTAAAAAATCAAATTTATTTACCATATATGTTATATTAATAACTACAAGTCACGACGCATTACTAATATCAGTTACGGATGTCAAATATTCTCAATTTTCGTAATAATTTTAAGAGTAAGGTAGGGTTAGGTTGAGTTGTAACCCTATTTTTGGGCTGGTCGGATTGACCCGATAAAAAAATGTTAACTCACAAACCAACTTATATTTATAGTTTTCTAAAAATTCTTCTCAACCCAACAAATATATATATATCTAAAGATTGAATTGGGTAGTCTAAGTTCGACAAGTTCTCAAATTGTATTTGTAACAATGGTATCATAGTTAGCAATGGGCCTAGGTCGTTACAAATGGTATCATAGTCCGACACTGGAAGTGTGCCAATCTTCTCGCTGTTTCTTGAAAGAGGGTAGATACGAGGTGGTATATGGACGCTAGCCCCAAAAAGGGTGGATTGTGAAATCCACATTAGTTAGAGAGGAGAACAAATCACCTTGTGCATATACAAGGGTGTTAAATATGAAATATCCTTTCATGGTTAAAAAGTAATTTCATATCAATTTTATACTTTTAAACCTAATTTTCAAAATTCAAACTGATATTTTGAAGAATTAAAAAAAAAAATTGATATTTTCTTTTTCAAAATTTCTTAAATTGACAACTGAATTCAATATTACATAAACTAAATTGACTTCTGCCATACCCTTAAATAATGGTTGATTGATATAAATGATGGTTGACTAATTAATTTAAACGCATTACAAAGTTAATTAAGTATTGGGGATTGAATTTCATTTGAGGATGATTCATGTATTTAGCGTACTACGTTAAAATATTGACATACATTACACAACCTAAACTATTATTTACACATTAATTTAATATTGTGTACGAGGTAACTTAAAAAAATAGATTAAATATAGAATTGAACGTATTGTATTCCGTTCATCAACTTTTTTCTTCCATTGTCTACAACGACATCGTAGTCTAGATGTTTCTCACACTTTTCATCGAGAATAACAATACCAAATGCAAGAAGAACACACCGGAGTTTAAGTGTCATACTTTCGACTGAGTCGAGTTCGTGATTACTGTGATTGAATCCTTAATCAAGAATGTTACATTAATTCAAATTGATAAATTAAAAGTTTATGATCAAGTTTTAAGTTTAATGTTTAGATGGGTGAATTGAAATCTTCTCTTTGTATGTTCATAACTTGCTATTGGGCCTACTCCACAGCCCATATACAAGCCCATTAGCAATAGGGTAGTGTGGGCCGGGTGCATTCCTTTTCTTTTCTTGGATTAAATTTTTTATTAAAAAACACCCTTGAACTTTTTCGTTTTAGGAAATCTTTTTATAAATGTTTTAAACCCATGAAATAAATCAATTTGAACATTAAACGAAAAAATTGAAGACTTAAACGATGTAAAATTGGGATTCAATTCATTTAAGGTTCTGATTTTCATCTAAAAATTTACGTATTTTGATAATAATTTTAAAATATTTATGAAAGAATGTTACGCGAAAAAATGAAAATAATATGACACCAAAGGCTTGTCGAATCTAAGTGTGTAGTTCCAATCATTACCGAACTAATACCTATAGATAGGATATTCAAATTAAAATCTGCAGAATTTTTTTAAAAAAAATTTAAATCGAGTTTCCACATGAATGAGCAGAATTGATTTTTAGGATAATATATATTAAATAAGTTGGAATCCTTTAATTTTCAGGGTCCCATACTTAAAAAATAAAGGCATATAATTCCCTTCTCATTTATTTGTTTTGATATAATTCAATGGGGTATTAATTGAAGATGGGAGGAGGGCGGTCACAATCTAGGATAGGACATGATTGTACTCGGGAGAAAATCATATGATTAGTTTTACCAAGAAAAAAGTATGTTGTGACCCTCAAACAAGTTAGCTACACAAAGTATCTAAAATGACGGAACGAGAGTCTAGATAGACAAGTGTCATAATGTAATTGAAGAGTACTGTGTATGATTCAAGTCAAGCGGAAAGTAGGACCGTAGACCCTAACCTCAAAAGGAATCCATCTCGAGTAAATAACAAATAAATGAAAATTAACTGAAAAGAAAGATGTTCATAAATTTTGGATATCCACTCACAAGTATTTAAATAAATACAAACTCCAAAGTAAAATTATATAATATTTTTAGGGGGTAAAAAAAAAAGATGATAATGAGACACCATTGAAAAACACTACTTGAATAAGCGTGATTAAATTTAAGAAACCAATAACGTTGTAAACTCTAATTGAAAAACTGTGGAAAATAAATAAATTAAGCTTATCCAGTTTTGATTTTGTCGGAACGAGAAAAAAGACAGGATTTTTGACATTTTTGATGGTCATCTAAACAGGCAGATTCTCTTCTGGATCTTCTCAAAAATACTTGAAGAAAAGAAAAGCCTTGCAATTCTTCTGAGAAACAGACAGAGCCAACAGCGTATCAGCAAAGCAAACAAATTTACACATGTCTTCTTCTTCCATTCAAACAAACCAAGCCCACCCAGAATATTGGAAGAAATTGTGTTTTGTTCTACGCTACACTTCCCTGATCCGAGGAATCTTCGTAATAGTAAGGAGTTAGCTTCCCATCTTTATTGTTGGTTTTCAATTGGTTCTCTGCCCCAACTTCTTCCAGCATTTTCACCACTTTTCTCATTGATGGCCGGTTGATGGGAAGAGGGCTGGTGCATAGCAGCCCAATGTTCAGCACTCTGCATATTTCTTCCTTGAAACACCTATCCAGTTTCGGGTTTATCACCTTGTCGATCCCGTCTTGATCCAATGTGGAACACACCCATTTCACCAGGTCTTTCTCCCCGAACACTGGATCGATCGGGAGCCTCCCGGTTATTAGCTCCAGGATCACCACGCCGAAGCTGTATATGTCGCTCTTTTCATTCACACGGAGTGTGTAAGCATACTCTGCAATGCAAGATCGAGAAAGGACTATTATTAGATTGAGGATTAACTATGGAATTTGCTTTTTAAATCAGACCAAGTTCAGTAACTAATTTGATTTACTAACCAGGCGCAATATAACCGCAAGATCCTGCGATTACCGACATGGATTTAGGCCCTTTCGCAGTTGAATCGATGACCTTAGCCACGCCGAAATCGGCTAACCGTGCTCCAAAATCGCTATCCAACAAGATGTTGTTCGACTTAACGTCTCGATGAAAGATTGGAGGGGTGCAATCGTGATGAAGATAAGAGAGTCCTTTTGCAGCATCCAAAGCTATCTTAAACCTGGTAGGCCAATCAAGCACTCCTTTTTT